ATTCTGCACTGCACTTTCATCTCATATATATATATATATATTAATTCAAAACTTATAAGTTATTTACAAAAAAAAATGTAAAAAATTACATTAAAAATGAATTTAAAAATTTATTTAAAAGCATATTTGGATAAGATGCAGGGTAATTAAAGCTTCTTTATTAACTAAAAATCTATCATATTATTGTCTTGTTTATCGGTTTATTCATTTCTTGGACAAGTAATCAAATAAACTAATTTTAAAATGCTTTTATCCTTTCTCCGATCTTCCTAATCTTTAATAATCATTGAAAATGTTCTTTCTTTTACTAAAATATTGATTTGCGATGGATTATGTTAGTAGTTTTTTTTCTTCATTTCAGACAAGGGTTTTAAAACAATGTATCACTGACGAAACACCATTTAGTAATTAATTATTTTATGAGTTATTCTTTATTTCGCAGTCTTAAGCTAAAATTAGAATCCAATTTTACGTGCCATTCTTCATTTCGAAATTTCACACTTTTGTTTATAACTTAATTAAAAATAAATTACAGTTTTTGGTAATATTGTCGACAGTGGTTCAAAAAATTAGTAAATAATAACAAATAAGAAAGTTTGAAGGAGACGCTAATAATAATTTTTGATTTAATAGTAATTATTTCAAATTTTTATATTTAAATTCAAACCCGAAAATATAATTTAAAATTCAAATCCAATTTCATCATGAAATTTCAAATTTTTGTTTAAAATGCGTTGTTAAATTTTTTTTTATGATTTTTAATAACTCTGTAGACAGCGATTCAAAAAATAAGTAGATAATAACGTGTAATAAAATTAAACTGAGCCGCTTCCAATAACTTTTGATCTAATAAAGATAGATTCAAATTTTTATACCTAAATTTAAACCTAAAAATCTAATTCTGAATACGGACCCCAATTTATGCTCGGTTCTTTACTTTGAAATTTCACATTTTTACTTTAGAAAAATACACATATATAAGGAGCATTGGTGTCTCTTCAAAATCAAAGGGTTAATATTAAGGGTGAAAACTTTAATAGAGTATAAGTCGAAGTCAGATTTGGAGTCGAAGTTGAGCTCTCAGAAGGATCCACGGAGTCGGAGTTAGAGTCTAACATTTGAACTACTCACAACAGTTCTTTCATAAACTTTTCATTTCAATATTTATGTTTATGCAATTTTTTAATTTCCACTTGATGGAGTTCTTACAAGAGAAAAATTCAGAAAGCAGCGAAACAACAAAGTTCAAGTTCGCTGAAGTGTTGGGATCGCTTTCAATCTGAGCCTAATACAGATACTTCAAAAGAAAATAAATAAATAAGAAACGGTTAAATATTACAAACAAAAAAAAGAATTGTAAGATTTCTTAAACCTGTTCTCCGAGCAAAAACACATAGCACTAAAGAAATTATTAATAAAATATTATCATTATCTGTCAAAAATGTATTTTAATTTATAACACAAAATATGAAGAATGTTTTTCTCTGAATTTTTAACTTATTAATGTTCCATACTTTATGCTAAAAAAAAAGAAAAAAATATTTAAAAAGATATTTAAATTACGCTATTTTTTGTAGTGGGAAAAAATTTAAGAAATCCTACATTTTGGCACGAATAAAATATATGCAAGAAATTGATTCCATTTAATTTAATGAAAATTTTTAGAATACAAAACGGTAGAACGGTAACAAGAATAAGTCTAACTTTTGTATATTCTCACAATGACATTTTATCAATTGTCAATCAACGCATCGCAAAAGCATTACTGCTCACTTAGGCGTTAAATTTCCATTGGTACAATTTAAAGTGTCAATATCATGGATTATAGAGTACTCTACTCCTTGATTGATGCTTTTTTCTTCATCAACCAAGCAATAATTGAGTGAATGTTCCACGATCCAGTTGCCTATTGATGAGCAAAAGCAATTCCTTACTTATTTCTCTTATTGCTTCCTTATGAAAATACTTGAAAAGCTTTTTTCCCAGGCTAGTCAAAATTTTCATCAGCCATTTTGAATATCTTCCATTTCCCAACAAATTCGGAAATTCCATCTCCATTGCGCCAAAAGATAGATCGAGGTTTAAATCAGTCATACGCAAGAGAGCATTTTCACTCTTTGGCATATTTAAGTGACTATGCCCTTCAATATGCACCTGCAATGGAGAAAAAAAATCGCATATAAGTTACACTTTCTGAGATCTTTTTTTAACCTAAACTATCATCTGCTGTAACTAATTAGCAAGACAGTTAGACCAGACGATAAATTTTAGAACAAATTCTGCACTGCACTTTCATCTCTTCAAAAGTGATCAACATAATAGCGCGATTCTCCTTTCACAGCCACGGTATATATGAAACAAGCCTTTTTAACTCTAGCGGCCCAACATCCTACGGACGTCTTCTCAATTCTGTATTCTCGTATTCATTTTGTATTAGTACGTAGACGTGCTAATTTAGTACGTTTACTCATGGAACAGGTCTGGAACAAGTGCTACTTTCTCATTCCGCCAGTCCTTAAGAGGTAAAATCTAATTTTTAATCTAGAAACGTTGGAACTTTTCCTCCTATTTATAATTTTAAATTGTAATTTTATACATTATATTTACTTAAAATTTTTAATCTATTTATCAGTGGCATAAACAGCGTCCGGTACTAAATGTAGTTTAATTTCCTGTGGTTCAACTACCTGTAGTTCAGATTTAAAAAAAACTATTTTAATCATTCAGTATGAAATGAATTCGAAGCATACTAAATTTTTTAAAATTATTTTAAATAATAAAAAATTAGTAATAATAAAAATTAGAAAAAAAGTACTGAAAAATTGATTTTCAAAACGCATTTGTTTAAAATACAAGTTAAATTAAGTTTTTGAATTTAAAAAGAACAACGTGTTTTTGAATTATTATTTTGGTTTTACGATTTATTTCTTTGAGAGAAATGCAATTATGTTAAGCTTTTGCTCTTTGGATAATAACCCTATAAGATTTGCAAATCACAATGCTGAGTTATGTGGCCAAAATCGTTTAGATCACAGATTCCTTGCGGTGGCGTTATAGAATTTTAGGGAAGGGGTGGATTTTTTTTTAGAATTTGTCAAAACTTATAAACATAAGAGAAAAAAATTTTTAACTATCGAGAACATTTTGGAATTAATATATTATTTTGAACTGAAGAACCAAAGCATATTTAGCTTTGCATAAAGTATATGTAAGTAAACCAGATACGAATTCTGAAAGATACAGATTCTGCAGATACAAATTCTGAAAGATACAGATTCTGCAGATACAAATTCTGAAAGAAAATTACTAGCCAATTTTTTTTAACTATCGGAAATGATATCTATCTCGATACACAAAAAAATGTTTTGCTTGTAGAAGTTTGAGGAGCATTTTGAATTTTTAACAAAATATTTTGATAAATGTTTTTCACTTATGGTGAACCTACGATAAGTTTTTTTAAAATTTTTTATCTCCTTTGCGTATCCAAAAGGCAAACGTATGAGAATTCGTCTCTCATATAACAATCGCATCCTCAATGGGAGAAAGTTTTGATACAAAGAACTAAAAAATGAAACTCCCAGTGAGTGAGTTGTCATAAGCATGAGCGCAGATGTTTGAAATTTTTTGAATGAAAATTCCTTTCTCGTTTAGGCAACGAATATCTGAAACAAACTGAGCTATAAGCTAGGCAGAAAATTAACGTTAAAAGCGCGAAGTTAATTTTTAGCTGACGAGCAATGATTTTGTTTTAATGGGAAACCTGCAAGTGACGTAGGGTGGGTGTTTCGATCCTGATTGGTTGTTAAAACGTGGCATTTGCTTACGTTAGCAACTGTTCTTTCCGTTCTATTTCGAGTAAGCAAAGCCAGCCAAATATCAATTGTCTTAAGAGACACTTTCTAAATTCTTTCTCAAATATTTCAATTCTTCTACTACATATTTTCACAGAGACTTAACACAAAGACAGGCACGTAGCCACTTGGAACATAAACAAACTAGTTATGCATCGAAGCTGCCGGGTACTCACAACAGAAATATATCAAGGTTGCAATAAAATACACAAACAAATAATAAATCTAAGTTAAGTAAAACAAGTAGACGAGTAAGAATTATAAAACAATTAATTAGATTTGAGATACTGCTCTGTGTTTAATTAACTTATCGTTAATTTACTTATCGTTAATTAACTTATCGTTAATTAACATTCTAACTTATGTAGAGATAGTTAGTTCAACTTTAGTACGCCATTTTGCTGATAAAGATTAGCTAGCGCTGACGTCTGGAGTTTCAGTTTTATTTCATAATTAACGCAGGAAAGAGATGCATTTTATCAGTAAAGATCAACCAACTATGACTTATTTAAAATTTAAAAAATTTTCACATTTTTCTTGGTTTTTATACATTTTACGAATTTATGTCACAATAATGACTTAAAACTATTGTACCTCCAAGCACTAAATTTATAATTGAATATATCGAGATATTTTATGAATTATTTGAGTCAAATGTAATTTTTATATAGAATTAAAATGCATTTGAATCAAAACGTATTGCATGTAAATTCAATGAATTGAGCATAAATGAATGGTTTTACAGGATGCATGCGTTGTATTTTTTTAGGACTTCACTGTAAAAAGATTACCAACAAACGTGCAAAGCTAAACTAAAATACATAAGACTCTAAAAAACGAGTGCAGCAATCCGAAAGGAAGTGTGAAAGTAATACCAGAAGAGGGCGAGTAGGGGAAGTTTCTTTGTAACTATTTATTAACTCTAATTATTGATTAGTAGTAATTAATACTAACTGCTTACGAGGGACGAATGGCTGTAAAAAACCCTTCCTCAGCGAAATTGGTAATTTTGTTTTTTAAAAATAGACTGTATAAAAAATTATGAATCATTTACATCCTTACATCTTTGACATGAAAGGAAAATGAACCATCATTTGTAACGCGTAACATTTCCAGAGCTTCTCCACTGACGTTGTACTGACCACTGGTCATCAGTTCTGGTATAGACATACTGAAATTGAAAAATCTCTTTCTTACGTCCACCTTCAAATTCTCGATATGGAATTTCGAAAGTCCTGTTATGTTCAAGTCCTTTACCCTAAGCTTTAAATCGATCAGATCGAAGATCTCATCACCTTCGTATATGGTAATAGGATCTATGTTGGATAAAAAGAAGGGGTCTAAAGACGGAACACTGATGCCCGGGATACCTTCGGACATATCCTCCCGGAAATTTTCCAGGACATCTTTCAAGAAAATCGAAAGTATGCTGTCGTATTCTTCTGCTTTGTCCTCTGAAAATTCCGATTCTGTTTCTGCAATGAAAAGAATAAATCTAGTTTATAATCTATTGCAATCAGTGCTGTAGTTGGTGGGGGGGATGTAGGGAAATGCTGTTCCCCGAAATATTTGGTTTGCTGTAATGAAAAAATTAAAAAAGAATTTAAGCCAATTTATAGTATTTTATTTATTTATTATTATTCTTACGAACTTAAACGAAAATTTCTGCTTGTTTCTGGGAAAAAACAATTCTACTCTGACAGAAGGGCAGATTGTACTAATCATATTTGAATCATATTCATTATATATCAATTGAGCTTTTAAATCTGAATGATGTAATTTTTGGTAGAATCTGTTGGTAATCACTCACTTAGCGAATAAAAGGTAGCAGAGGAAAATATTGCTTACCTTTGGTTTGTGCATGGTCACTTTTGTTGTCTTCACTTTCTTTACTTCAATAGTACCGGAATACTTAGTACGACTTACTCAAGGAATTAAGGCATTATTAATTCAGTAAAAGGTTCAGATTGCTTTTTTAAATAAAAGTCTATTATTAAATAAGCATAATTTTATAACCGCCGTTGAACAGCCGACCCAATTTCATGGGTTTACGACTACTAACCTTAAATACTTACGACTACTAACCTTAAACTCCGTAGCCTTGTAATTTTGAACCAATCCAGAAGACAAGGAAACTTCTGGATCAGTACCCCCAGAGGTATTGATTTGTTGTGGGAACATGGAGGACTTTGAGACTCGACAGATTCAACGTGCATCAGTCACCATTTACTACACTGGGAGTCTTCGACCGGCGAGGATCGAACCCACGACCTCTTGGATATGGGTCCAGCGCCCTACCGACCAGGCTATCCCGGCCCAATAAGCATAATTTGTAAATATGAGTAGGTGAGCTAATGCTCTTAACAAGATGGAGTATAGATGAGTAGTAAAGTGAAATTTTACTACAATTAAACAGCGCCATCCAGTGATCAAAATAATAAAAAGTGAATTATTGAATTGAAAGATTAGTGATGAAATATATGCATATTTTATGAAAGAATCTGAATAGGCACCCATTTTCAAGACTTGTGCTACGTGGATGAGAGGAAACAAAAGTGATTTGAAATTTAAAACGGAAAGATGCCAGCGAATAAAGGTGAGAGACAAAACTAGAAAAACCTCAGTAGGCTAAAAAGAATAAAAATAAACATGGAAAATCAGAACAACACTGTGTCCGAGAGGGACAAATCAGGGTAAGATGTATTTCCACGCTCTATGCAGAAGTGGTCAGAAACTAAAGTCGTTAATAAAGAAATCAGCATTCATATGAATGAAACAAGATTTTGGAGTATCCGGATGAACTGATGTGATTGGGGTGGAAATAGTTTTTAGCATTGTCGAAATTGAATTTAAACCCGAGACTGCAACAATGTGCAGCAAATTGATGATTTCTCGTATTCTTGATTAAGGATTTATCTGTCGTGTTCCTTAAGTCTAAATTTTAAAGTGCATCTAGTTTGTCCGATGTAGTCAAGGTTGCACTGGCAAGGAATGTGGTAAAAGTACCAGTGATTATCAAAACTAATAGGATCTTTAAGAAACCTAAATTTAATTATGTTAACAAGTCTGAAAATGACTCTAAAGTCAAAACGGGAAAGATATCAGCAATTTTCTAACCAACAGAAGGAAATAAAACGGTTAAAAAACTTCTCTGTAAGGATTAGAAGAAGAGGGGCGTTTGGATCTAGTGAATTTAAGTTAGGAGTTTAAAGAAGAAATGTCTGAGCAAAGGTTTAATGTCTGTAGAACGAAAGTATGACTTGATAACTAGGGTGATTAGAAAGAATGAACAAGAGGGGCAAAGACACAGTGAAAGGTTTACGATAAACAGAGACGGAAAAATGATCAGGGTTTTTAGTTACGAGAACATCTAAAAAAGGTTAAAAAAATTAATTTCCGCGTCTAAAGTGAGTTGAATGTTAGGGTTAACCGAGTTGACAACAGAAAATAACTCTTGAAAATCAGTATCACTGTCTACTGTGATAAACGCATCGTCAACATATCTTTTCTACCAAGAGAATTTGAACATTTAGTGTTCAGAGAAATTACCATTATATTGAAAAGCAGTTTACTGAGACTTAGGAATTGATAAAGTAAATAATATCTTCAATTTCAATAAAAGAGTTGTGAAATTTATGCAGCCGTTGTTTTAAACTAACAATAGCAGAAATTGGACATATGTGAAAAGAGAAACAGCATCAAGAGATTGCATAGCTTTGTTGGTGGGGGACAGATGTACTAATTGGGAAACAAAATGTTGGGAATTTTGAACAGTATGGATATTGTTGGAAGTTAAGTGGAGATAATACGAGCTAAATAGTATCGTATCTAATAGTATATAGTATCAATGTTCGAGACAATAGGTCTAAAAGCAAGTTGAGGCTTGTGATCTTGTGAGTGAACTTTAGATAAGGCACAGAAACGAGCTCAATTTGAAGGAATGACATTACGTTTAGTGTAGTCCAAAAGATTACAAGAACTTTTTATTCGATTCTTAATAGCAATAGAATGGGTAGGAGTAGGGTCAGACTTTAAAATTGTGTAAGGGCCAGAGATTAGCATATTCTCAATATGATTGTAGGAATCAGATTTGTTGAGAATAACAGTCTGTCCACCTTTATCTGTTTTGGAAATGAAGATTTCAGAATGTTAATTGAGATTGCTTTTGAGAGTAGATGAGATAAGATTTATTGAAGTGTTTATTTGAAGAAATAGTGTAAGAAATTAAATGCCGGAGAGTATCAATTAGACCAGCGAAATTTAAACTTAAATTAATGACCTCTTCTTGTGACTTGCTAAGGTTAATAGAAGATAAATTAACAGAAGGATATTTGGTTAATAATGTGTCATTAGGGTGCGATTGTTTATTAAACAAAATCAGATTATTCAATTTTTTGCAAAGATTATCCCTATGTTATCAACCTAAACAAAGTTTTGTTTTTCCCAAGTACTAAACTGAGGAAAAGAAGTTCTTTTAGATTTATTTTTCTTTTCCTCATTGATTAATTTATTCTTTTATTATGTAAAGAAAAGTATTTAGTTTGTTAATTATTAAACTATTTATTTAGATTATTAATTTATTCTTTTATGGTGAAAAAAAGCATTTAGTTTGTTAATTATTAAACTATTTACTTAAATTGTGCAAATGTATTAGTGATTGCAATTTTAACAATGATTTTTTTAAACATAAGCTGTTCTCCCTCCTTGATCTTCGATGAATGAAAAGGAACCACGGGGGTTGCTGAGCGAAGCTGACCAATATCTCCAAGAAAAAGGAAAAAAAAGCTTCAGCACGGGTTACCATGAAAAGAAATTTTATTCTTTAGCAATCCAAACGTAACGACATCATTGGTATTTACCACCGATACGCAACTTAATAGCCCGAACTTAGTGACATATTTCTTGTTTTTCATCCACTGCGCAGTCGCAGTTTGTATTCGTTAAGTCGGACTGTTAAATTGATCTGTGCTGAGGCCTTTTTTTCTTCTATGAGGTGTTGAGCAGACACAGGTCAGAATATTCTAAATATTTTAGAAAATCTTACCTTGTACAGCGATGAAAACGAACAGTCCAAACGTGAAGAAAAATCTGTGTAATCCTTTCATTTGTGCGCTATGGGGGAAAAAAGGAAGCGTTTTTTTAATTTTATCTTCATTTGAGCATAACCTTTATGCCATCAGATTCAGATCATAACCTTTAAAAAGCCAAATTAAATATAAAATTATTCAGAATATACTAATAGTTCTAATTTATTTGATGGATAGAAAGATATGGCAGTTAAAGAAACGGCATGACATCTCCAATAGGCGAGAAAACCCGGTGTCCATGCATGTGACGTGCCAAAAAATTGAAAAGATTGCGATGCATGAACAACCAATTTCTATTTAAACTTGATAATCAGTCTTTCTTTCCTCCTGTTTTTTAATAAGTAATATAAGGCTTTTGCCTGCTAACCCAGCGAATTTTTTGTTGATTTCTCAGATTTTTTTTAAAGAAATTAATAACTCTAAAACAAATTTAAAATTTTTAAAAAATTCAATTTTTTTTCAGTTACAAAAGTGTACGTGGGTCAAAACAACAGTTAAAAAGTTGCCAATTTCATTTAGATAAATAAAGCTAGAATTGCTGCTTAATAATTATTTTCATAAATTCAGATTTGAATAACACTCAGTCTTTAGTAAAATAATTTCGTTTTCCTTTATTTTTGCTCCGGAACTTGGTTATGCATTCGAATTAATTATTATAATAATTATTGTAATTTCAAAGAAAAATTAATATAGTAATTATTTTGATAAATTTAGCTTTGAATAAAACTCAATCTTTAGCTTAAAATTTTTTTTCCTTAATTTTTTTTCTCTGGTACTAGGTTATGCATCAGAACTCATAAGATTTATATTTATTAACTTTAAACAATGTTTTTCAATTAATTTAAATCTGAAAATAAAATTTAAAAAAGATTTCTTTAAACAACCGATAAATTCAATAAAATTAATTCAATAAATTTAATTCAATGGAAAATAATTTTTCTAAATATTTTTTTAATATGACAAAATAAATTCAATCATTACCATTTAATTTTGACTATCATTTTATTTCAAATTATGAAGGTGATTGCTTTTCAATTCTTATCAATATATTCAGAATTCTTATCGCTAAAAGAAATTTAGAATATTGACCCAAATTATGTCACATGGAAAATTCTCAATAAAAGAAAAGTTGATTATATTACCTATACTCAAGATTCAGTGCGTATAATTAAATAGTTTCATGGGCAACATTTCCAATTTCAACTGCTAATAACAATCTATTAATGAAGATATCTATTCAGGTGTCTACTCAAGCAGATATATTGAACTGCATCGATTTCACTTCATACTATTTTTGCAACACTTTTGTATCCTCATTTCAATAAACAGTATTTGTAAATCGTGCTTGGTTTCTTAATAACTTAGTATAAACAAACCGAAAAGCATTGTGTTTTCAAAACAATGCTTAAATTTCCTGTAAAAGAAAATTTGAATTTCGAGGAAAGATGAGAGTTTAAGGATGAAATTTAGTTACAATAATAATAAATACTGTGTTCCTTGTATCATATTTTTAGTTTTCATTTTAAATTATGGTACTCAAGACCAACCCCTTGCAATAGTTTTCGACATAACCCTCATTACGATCTCAATTATCGCACCGCCCAACAAAAAAGTAAAACGATAAAGATCGTAAAAATATACAACCTAACTTTAATTTGATTTGACTATCTTAAGTACCCCATAGTTATACTACTGAAAAAATTAAATGTCCTGATAAGGATGGAAATACAATTAAAAAAACTTGTATTTTTATTAATTAATATATTTTTTTTACAATAACTTTATTTTAATCACATCTCTCGCTTTTACTCATTTAGAATAGAAATACACACAGCGCACAAAAAATAAAATAAGGGGGCCACTCTGCATAACTTTTGATCTAATGATTGGATCTTCCCGCGCTCAATTTTAATGGATCAGTGGGCTGACCTCAAATGTGTTAATTAATTAGTGCAGATGTTATTTTAAGATACGAAATTAACCACGAAAACGTTCTTTCTTTAAATAAACATACTTTTTTTTTCGGTGGATTCGGATTCCAGAACCCCAAAATATAGGGGGTAACCTCAATCTGTGAAATCTAATTCTCATAGTTTCATCAGGAGAGCGATCCATAGCTTGGATACCTTAAAGTTAATTTTTCTTTTTGCGTATTTCACCATATCTCTAGAACTTTAAAAAAGTATTGAAAAACTTTTGCACAGAATTTTGAAATTCGTTTATTCCATGCAAAAAAAAATTTTAGTAAATATTTATTTTTATTGTTTTATTTAATATCAGTCGAAAAACTTTTAAATTGTAAGGTATGCATTAGTTTGTATAATTTTAAAGAATGCAAATTTAAATAGCAAAACACAAAAAGTGAGCGAAATTAGTCGAGTAATTCCTGAGAAATCGAATTTTGAAAAAGACGTATATTTAAAATCTGATTCCTTAGAAATAGTTCAATCGATTTTCGATTATTATTAAATAAAACAATAAATATTTTCTTAAAGTTATATCAGGCATGAAATTATTTTAGGATAAAATTTTTTTTATAGCTGTGTACAAAAATTTTGAAATTCGATTTAAAAGTTATCGAGATATAGTGGAATACTCAAAAAAGTAAAATTAACACTAAGGGGTCCAAACTTTGGATCTCTCTCCTGACCGAACTATTAGGAACATATTTCATAAAGAAAAAAAAGGTATGTTTATTCAGAGAAATTACGTTTTTGTGACTGATTTTCGTAACTTAAAATGTCGTCTGCATTTACTTGAAATCACCCCCTCTAATTTTAATACTGAGTCCAAAATGTGAAGATCCGATCATCCCTCATTTTGCGTGCTATACGCATTTATGTCTTAATAATTATTACAGAACTTAATAATTTTATTATTTCGTTCTGCAGAATTTAGAATAAAGTTTTAGTTAAGTTTAGTTTAGTCTAATTTTAAATAAAGTTTAGAAAAATTAGCTTTTACTGCATTTTTACGAAAATATAAACGATACGGATTTTGAATTATTTTTAAAGTTGTAAATAACATTTATTTCTCGCTGTTTGTGTTTATTATCCTTAATGGAGAGAGGGGCCAAAAACATTTTTGCTTACACTTGAAAATTGCAGAAATGGAGTCATTAACTTTCGGCACAGCTGAATGCAAACACATATTTTTAATTTGAATGATCAAAGACCAGTATTTTTTTGTGGATGTGAATAAAAATAATAAATTTAAATGTTCTTTAAGAATAAGTTTTTTTTTCATTGAAAAGGAATTTTTACTGAAATTTCTCACTTGTATTCGCAATCGCAATACTCGAATACGCCATCCGGAGAAAATACCGGTTCCATATGTCTCAACCAACACCTTCGTCCTCCCTTGCGCAGTTGTATAGGAATGTTGTACAAAATTTCCCCCCATTTAATTGCTAAAAATATTTTCTAAAATTTCTTCTAAGATACTTTCTTTTTACTTTGTTTAAGGCAGTTTTTAGCTCCGTATAGCCTCATAACTAAAAAAAAATTTAATTTGTTTGAAAATTAAGATAGAAACAAACGTACTTTCTTCTCCCGTCACTATTGGCTATTGAAATGGGCTACAGGTAGCGTAGAGCAAAACTCTCTACCTATGGCAACACTTCGCAAGCTTTCACAATTAGCGTGTGAAAAGTCATAGAAAAGGGAAGTACGTTAGTTTCTGTCTTGATTTTCATATTGATTAAAATCTTTTAAATTGGGAAACTATATGGAACTGAAAACTACACAAAGCATAGTTTTAAAAGAGAGCGTTATGGAAATTTAAAAAAAAAAATATTTTTATTTATTAAAAATTAAGCCAAAGGCATGGAACCGGTTTTCTTTCCAGAGGGCGTATTCGAGAGTTGAGATCGCCTATCCACTAATGGAGCTAACGGTGAAAGCATGAAACGTATTTCCATCGGTAGAAATTTCTACTTTGAGCCACCTGTAGCCCATTTCAATCGACATTTCGCGACCACAGCTGTCGAATACGCTATCTGGGGAGAAGACCGGTTCCATTGTTTAATCCTTCCCTCTCCCTCTCTTCTCAGTTGCATGGATGGTTGACCGTGTAAAGCTTTAAAAATTGTTTTAGGCTCATAATCAGTTAGAATTTGTAAATTACAGGAAACTCTTGTGAGTGGTAAAATCATACGTAAATTTAAACATTAATCACATTATCGAAACATCCAAGAATATTAAGCCTGTTCACACATCTCCTCGTAAGCATAACATAACCGGAGGGATACACCAAAAGTTTTCTGAATTTCTTCCGGTCCCTTTCTAAATATTTTTAGTATTTAATTGCCACAAATATTTTTTTAAATTTTCACATCGCTTTCTTTCTGAAATATGTTTAATGTCGTTTTCAGTTCCATATTGGTGATCGCAACACTCGAATACGCTATCTGGGGAGAGACCGGTTTCATGCCTTTAGCCCTTCTCCCTTCCCTCTCCTCCTCTTTTCAGTTGTATAGGAATGTACTACGATATTTTCCCTTTTTATTCAATAAAAATATTTTTTAAAATTCCCGTGATACTTTTCTTTAGAGCAAAGTTTAATGCAGTTTTCAGTTCCATATAGTTTTCCCACTTAAAAGATTTTAATCTATATGAAAATCAAGAGAGAAACTAACGTACTTCCTTCCTCTATGACTTTCCACACGCTAATGGGGAAAGCATGTGAAGTGTTGCCATAGGTAGAGAGTTCTGCTCGACGCCAACTGCAGCACATTTCGATCGCCAATAGTTTCCTAACTTTAATCTATTTGAAAATCATCAACTTACCACACGCTAATGAAAGCAAGCAAAGTGTTGCCATAGGTAGAGGGTTGTGCTCTACGCCACCTTTAGTCCATTTCTATCACCAATACTGCTTATTGACGTCATCCTTAAAAAATCTATTTAAAAATACGGGACATCAAGACCAGGTTATTTTAAGCATGCTCATGCGTGAAAGTTTTAGGATATTTGGTCAATTTAGGAATTGGTAACTGGGCGGAGTGAGCTTGACGCTAGCTTTTATCCATCAATCTTCTTATAACCCTATATTGATTGTGTGACCAAACTTTTTCGCCAAAGCAATTGGCGTTGTTTAAACAAAAGCTATTGTTAGAGGAAGCCATTTTCTGTATTTGGCTGCGCGGGATTTCATATTTTATCATCATGAAAGTTTTAATTACAGGTAATTCTTATTAATTAAAGATTTATAATATTAGTGTACGTTTCATAGCAGTATATAAAAAAATTACATGAAATTTTTAAAAAGATTAATGAATTTTATTAAATATCTGTGAATACCACGCGTTAGATTTTAAAGTAAATAGTTTGTAAAATGTATGTATTTTAAGAAAATCGTTATAAAAATTCATTTATCAAAGTTTTTCTCTGCTTCCTTAGAAATCCTTTGTTTGATCTGCCGAAATTGTGTGAAGCAGTTTAGTAATGAAATTTCATTTAGTTGAATTACTTGATTTATGTTTATTTTAGTGACATAATACAGAGGTATCTTTTTTTTCTATGAAATATATTGCTAATTAAAATTTATTTTATATAGAAAGATTAATATTGAATTTTCTTAAAAATAGTGAAGAGGGTTTTGATCATGTCTAAAATAATTTGTTTCAATTTTATTGTAAACTAATCTAAAAAAAAA